TTTTCTAATGCTAATTTATTTAAATCAAATCAGTCAAGTGTCATAGGTAATTAAATAACCAGAGAAATGTAATTGATTGAATTTACGCTTAATTTCGGAAGTATTTTTTGAATGAAAAACATTCGTTTCTATACATCTATTGCTTTGTTTACGACGTATTGAATATACAAACATAAACTTTTGTGCAAATTGGTACTCATTTCTTGATGTTGTTTTATAACATAATTTGTCATAACGCCAAGAGAGATAGCAAGGAATTTAGTCAATCTTAAGAAATCATCATAAACGACGGAAAACAGTTTCAACCACAGCTTTAATTTTATCAGAGCTAGTCGGTTTCTAGATATATCCGTTCTAATAAAAAAAAACAATAAAATATTATTTTAAACACTTTAAACGTTAAGATTGTATAAAATGTCAGGAGCTAAACTTTACTATTCCAGCATTCAAAAACTCTTTTTCCTATTCATTAGTAGTATAAGCAAATATGGGGATAGCTTTATTTTTTTCTATAACAATTGTCGAATTCCTTATCTCGATACAAGTTTTAACACTGGATAATTTCGGCATATCAATATCCAAAAATACAAGATCATAAATATCTTGAGACAAAAGATTCAAAGCTTCACTACCACTCGATATAAACTTTACTTGATGCTTGAATTCTTTAATAAGAATTTTTGATAGAATTTTACCAGTAATTAAGTTATTATCAATGACTAATGATTTTATAATTGGAATTTTAGACAGTGTTGATTCGCGAAGAGCATTAATAGCAAACGATATTGTCATAATATTTGTTATAGAATTAGATGAGAAGATTGTAGGTATTTACTAGAAATAATCATCATCAAAAGGGAGTGTTAAATTATTTCGTTCTTTAATTTGTAAATAAATATAGGTTGTACGAAACATTCAAAATATCATGTAAAGCTGTGTATTTCTAACAATGGAAAAACCTCAAAAATGTTTTTATTTAATGAACTCGAAAGATTAAACTTAATGGCTTTTAGTCTTTTTTATATTTTTTATTCTTTTTTTTGTGAAATTTGTGAAATTCGTGAATGAGAAACTTCATCTTTAAACTTT